TGCTGAACCTTTATTACTAGCAATTTTGCAGTATACATTAGATTTCAGTCTGAGCTGGTGGGTAATTTACTTTAAGAAATTAACCCATATGCAGCCATGTATAAAATCTGGAAATCACAAAAGATGCAATAGCTGTAAAACCCCACCTGCTGCACACAGGGCTGAATTTCATGTATCATGCATGCAACACACACAAACCAAGTAAGCTGTCGAAGGTTCCTCTCAGCAGCAGGATAGCTGCTTCCTGCACAGGCAAGTATGTGCTGTGCTGCCTTGTTTTCTCTCCAGGGACAGACTCATGAATTATTTTCATCTGCCTACTCTCCACTGTCACCAGTGCCAATGGCATGTGGGATGCACCAGGGACTCCTCAGCACTTGCAGTCCAACTCAATTTCCAGCTGATGAAACGAGTAGTTACACTCAGTTTTTAGTGACACTGTTTTCCCTTTAAAACCTACCTTTTCTTTCCCCATGCATTTCCTGATGCTAAGGAGATCCAGATTTGTGCCTGCATTCCTAATTTAAGTGAGAATGTTGAGCATTCCTTTGTTAATTGCAGCATATTTCCTCTGTCTGCAGCAAATAAGCTGTCATCTTTATGCAGTTCATCTGCTGTGAGCCAACGCTACACTGTATTGAAGTTAGAGAGATTCAGATGTGTAAGCCCTTACCTGCATTGTATGGACCAAACAATCTGTACTGGGTGACCAGCTCAGACTGCACTGAATGCCAGGCAGGATCCCTGCGGGAGTCTGCTCCAGGCACATTCTAAGGAGGCTCCATTCTGCAATGCCCAGTCTTCTGAAAATAAGGGACATGATTGCTGGAAAGATCAGAGTCCTGTGGGCAAAAAGAGACACAAAAGCAGATGAAGCCATGAAGCCTCCTCTTAGGTTGCTTATTCTTGACAGGTTGGTTACATTGCCTCTGATGGGAGAAACACGTGAGTGCTTACATTTCATCAAACCAGTACAGCAGAATGAGACCTACACGTTACAGCTTATGGTTCACAGGCAGTAAAACAAGTGCATTTTATTTGGGCTTGTAGACAAAGTTTCAGCATCTTAGATCACAGTCAGTAAATGATATTCATGGTTATCTGAAGACAGACCCTCAGCTGGTATAATACATACCTCCCTTGCACACAGCTCTAAGATCTCTGCTTTCTCCAGAACAGCCATAGCCAAACAGTTCCAAACTGAAAGCACAGACTCTGATACATAAGAAAACGGTATTTTTGCAATCACTTCAAACCTTTTCCATTCTCCTTCTCAACAGAGTCCTTTGCTTTCAAGTCTGTGACAGCAATAGAGTAAAAATCTACATTCCGAGGCACGCTTCTTGATGCCAAAACACTGCACTGCAAATTAAATTTGCTTTCAATCAGTATACAAGCTCTGTGTGTAAGCACAGCTGTACTCCCAAGCAGTTCCCATATGTGGGGAACAAAGCAAGATCAAGATCAGAGGAGGCTTAAAACTCTACTGTTTAGCAATCAGTAAAAATTCCATAGGATGCAGCCCTTTGTACACACCAGCCCCCTGAGATGAGCAGATAAGCAAATGGGGCTACTATAGGACATTTAACTATAATAGAAACTAAAGACACTGGTGGAAAAAAGTCTACTTGGCCAAAGGCTTCTCTGTCACCTATCTCAAAACTGACTTTCAAAACTCTTTTCTTCAGACAGCCCCTAGAAGAGTCCTGCACACAGTTTAGGACATGTCTTGATAGCAGGCAATAACTGATTTACAAAACAACATCTTGAGTGGGCAATAAGTGATTTACTCACCTTATTTTTCAATACAACAAGAGTTTGCAAGCACACCCTTCCTGCCACATAACATTAGGAGGAAACTACATGGAAGACAAATGAGTTTGAAATAGTGACAACTGAGCGTACTTGCCTTACAATGCTCTTTAAGTAACAGCAAAGAAGTATGAGAGCTGTGGGCATTTTTCTTTTTGTACCTTCACTCTTTTTGAGTGAAACCTACCATTTAGAAAATAATTGCTGGTTTAAAAGAAAAAGAACCAACAAAAAAAACCAACAAACACAAAAAATAAACAAACAAAAGAACAAAACAACAAAAAATCCCACTACAAAACAAAAAAAACCACACAAGATTTATATACTTAAAATTTTTCTACACACAAAAGTGAACAAATAAGTAAAAGCAACACTTTAATGATGACTTGGATTCATTCTAAAGCCTCTCATACAAGTTACACTTCTTATTCTATCTCATTTTCCTTTTGTAAACTTACCTTCTCTCTGGTGTAAAGTTTCACGCAGCCAGTTACTGAAGTACCTTTGATGACCACAGCTTGTATGATGAAACTCTTCCCATCACGTCTACAGCAATGCGTCTGCTAAACTGTCAGTGGCAATCAAAAGCATTAATATGTAAACTATTCACATCAAAAGCACTCTGATTACTCACCAATTCACAGGCTACAGTAATTAGCTAACTAAGCTTACATTTTAATAAGAAACATCTTTTTCCAATATAAAAATTCCTGACTTTCAGTATATTTAGTTGCAAATGTCTATTCAAGCTCCAAGTCTTTGCCAATGTCCATTCAAGATCACTGGAAACGAAATGTAGGGCAACTTCTGTATGCTTAGATGGAAGATGAAAGTCAGTGCTACTGCAGAAGGCCAAATAGAAAGCTCTGCACTGAGAAAACCACTGCAAGCACCCTCAAGAAATATATGCAGTGTAGTATGGAGGAAACCAGAAGATGTGCAGTGCTATGAATTCAGGAGCCATTTTCTCAAATATGGGAAGGGATGAGACAGCAAAAGCAAAACCCTGCTTTAATCCCTAAAGCTTCTACCTTCGATAACTCAGGAATGCACTAGATGGAGCCCACATTAAGGGTCCTTCATATCAAGAAGGTGCTGCATTAGAAAACACAACTAAATGAAAACCCAGGGGATGCTTGCTAGTGTAGCTAAGCTATCTTCAGCAACACCTTTCAATGCAAGTCAGCTTTGACCAGAAGCACAGCTATTCATACTGTCAGCAAAGCTCCAAGGGGAAAGATAGCAAACCATCCTTTAGGATTTTAATTGCTGATAGTACACGTGAGTTGTGAGAAAGCAAAAAAGAGGATGAAAAAATATCGCCAACACCCAACCCGTAAAACTTACAAGTTTGGGAAGTAAAGAGACCAGTGTTAAAAAGTACTTCCAATTCCAAATGTGCAGTCTATACAATCAATATCATACTTGGACAGCACAGAGGTTGCAGCAAGTAGTCATAAAAATTAACTTGCAAAACTCTGAAGTATAGGAAGTGTTTCAAGAATGGAATAAAAAGGTAGAAGCAGTTAACAGGTAGAAGGTATGTAAATAAGTACTAATTGCTGAAAACTAAGAGATGGGAGGGAATCCCTACTCTATTTAACCCCAATACACCTCAGCACCCATTCACAGAGGAACAAGGTCTGAAAAAGGACAGGGAGAGAGATGAGCCTTCCCTTCACATGGAGGCAATATTAACACCACAAGCAGAAAGATGCAGCAGAGGAAAAAGCTGCCCATCTTCAGAACTAGCCCATAATTAGGGCTAGTTTTCAGCCGCTTAAATTTATAGTGACTAACAAGACCAGGTCCTGTTCTCAGAAGCAACATTCAGAGGCTATATGGTACTTAGTGAAAGGCGCATATCCAGTCATGTCCCATGGATGCCTGTGCTGCACTATCTCTGCTTCCAGTCTTTCCTGAAGCATCGCTAGCTGCCCAAGTTGAAGGTGGTCCCACAGTTCATAATGTACACATTTATGGAGCATGAACACCTTGAAGCCTGTGAAAAAGTGCTGAAATCTAAAAGCATCCATCATGTAGTAAGAGCTACATTTCCTGTGCATTTATGGGGTCTGAAGCATAGCACCAGTGCAGCTGCAAGTCAACTGAATGGGGAAAAAAGAAATCATACACTGTAGTATTTTAGCTGTCTCCAAATACACAATTCTTCACACGCCATCAGTAGTATCTATAAAAGACAAAAGAAATGCCACATTCAGGTCAGGCCTTCTAGCTCAGTGTCCTGTCTTTAGTACTGGAAAGCAGCAGATATGCCTAAAAACAAAACAATAAAAGCATGCAAGAAACTCAATAGTTACTCAAAACATACCCCACAAGGGAAGCATCTTGACTGCTTATGCCATCAGCACAAGTGTTTTTTTCGTTCCCCCATTTCTTCTATACATTCCTCCTCTCCACCTCTCCTTTTCTTTCTCTTCAAGGCCTCTGCATCCTCCAGGGGAGCAGAGAAAAACAAGATGTCTCATGATGTCTTCTTCCAGAAGATGT